CCCCCCACAAAGGACAAAGACATGTGCCAGGAATAAATGATGATTTTCTTCGTGAACAAGTCACGACTTTGCCGGGAACAATCAGCTCCCTGTCTCACAATTCTCCCACAAAGTGTATGTCTCAAGGGTCCCTGACCAGCCAGTAGGCCTACCTCTACAACTCAACAACTCCTAGAATAAGATGAAGAAATATCCGCGAGAGGAAGCATAATCTACTTATTCTTCTAAGAGACAAGCCTTCGCAAATGACGTGATTTTTCACGCCTCTTTCAACACCATTAATAGTGAGCAAATCGGCCCTCAAAGTTAGTAACCCCCTCACCGCTTCATATACCCCTCCCCACTCCCACCCCCCTTCACAAGTCCAACCTCCAACCTCCACCACCCTCCCCTCCCCTCAATCCTCCCCCCGTTCCAACACTGTAAGGTTATTTAAAGGGTAAGACCTCCAAATTTAACAGCCTTTCTGATATACATGGGTGGAGAGCCTGAAAAACTCTCCAGAACAACGTAAACCTGGAATCATTAGAGATTTTAGTTTTAGTTCTAGTAAGAGTTTTACGACATTTGCAACACAATAAGGTCATATACGTGCCGTAGATTAGAGGTGTTACAACTGAGTAACAAACACAAAAAAGAGGAGAGATAAAGACGATAGATGATTGATGGGAAAGAAGAAGCAAACCACACCAGAGCATCCGTCAACCACCCACAAACATAAAAAAGAATGAGGAGAGATGGCGACGATAGATTTTTTTTATAGGAAAGAAGGAGCAAACCACACCAGAGCACTCGCCAACCACCCACATAGATGAACTATATAATTAGAAAATTCATTAATTCCATCTGGGCTGATCATATCTCTGTTGCCATGACGACGTGGCAACGTGTCGTAGGTGATTCCGTTTTCGGTCAAGGCAAAGCCAGGCTTGACCTACATTCACATTCCAAAGACGTGAGTTTAGGTTTTAAAAATTAAGAGAAGCACATTGGCACAATAACGGTCACTTAGTGCTTGGGAAGAGTAAGACAGACAGGCAGACAGACAGACAGACAGACAGACAGACAGACAGACAGACAGACAGACAGACAG